TAAAATGAGGGTGTTGGATTAGATGGCCTCTATGGCCCCTTCAAAATCTAAATCTATGATGGACCACATCTAAGGATTATCCATCTGATTTCATTTCATATTCTGAACAATAGGTTTTCTTTTTTTTTCCTCTGTGGAAAGTAAGGATAAACTTCCTTGAGGGATTATGGATTTCATTTAGAAAACTCTGCAGTGTTCTAGGGTTTGATGCCACACAATGCCATCTACTAACAGGAGAATATGGAGGCTCTTACAACCCATTGAGAATCCTTCTTCCATTTTGTCTCTTTACTAAACATTTTCCTCGACAGCAGCAAATATTTCTAGTGAGTTATGCCTCCCTGTTTTATACATGATTTCACATTAATAGTCAGAGTCACTAAACAAAGTTGCATCTTTCAAGGAATCCTGTAGAATTTTAATAGGTATATGGCAGACATCTTGTAGGAAAAAAGTCTTTAAGATGTCATTTTGCTCTACTAAACCAAATATTTTTTAATAATCAATAAACAATAAGTACACTGGGATCTTGTATTCTCTATGCTTTTAAGACACTGTGATAGAGTATTGTTTAGAGTATCAGATACTCTGACACTTCAATGAATTAATCAACCAACAAGCATTTATTAAACACCTACTATGGAGCTACACTGTGCTAGGCACTGGGGATACAAATTCAAAGAATGAACCACTACCTATTCTCAAGGATCTTACATTCTAATGGGGAAGATAAGAAGTACATACATAAGTATATTTTAAAATATAAAGAAAATAAATGTAACACATAAAAGGTTTTTAGTGAGAAACATTCATAGTTGAGACAATGGGATGAGGATGAGGAATTGCTTCATGTAGAAGGTGTAGAGGTAAGGGGGAATCTGTGAGCTCATCAATTTGTGTATTTCTTTTAATAATTAAGATTGCAACCCATCCATATGACTCCTATTCATGTTCTCCTGTATATATTCCAAAAAGAAGTCAATGCAATACATTTTCAGTAGTTAACCCTTGCTCTTGCCACATGACTAGCCCACCTTCTCTTCTGAACATTTCATATTCATAAATGGTAAAGTTCTAGGAGTTACAAAACACTAGAAGGGATCCTAGGATCAATGATTTAGAGCTAGGAGATACCTTAACGATCATCTAGTCTCAAGTTAGTCTCTATCCAATCTTGTCTCTATTTCCTTCAATTTTACAAATAAAGAAACTGAGGCCCAAAAAGAGTTCAATGATTCATCTAAGGTCCAGAAGTTGTAAGTAGCAGAACCAACATATGAACTCATCAGGCTTCTGATTTCAAGTTCAAAATCCTTTTCATTGTACCTTACTTTATGTTTAGATTTGAAATATATTGTATAAATTAGAGGAGAAAAAAACTACATTTTTAAGTGGTTTTGCTTAAGGTAATATAAGGATTAATTTACATCCTCTCATATGTTGGCAACTGGTATTCTAAAAAAAAAAGGCTGAATGACCTTTTGATATTAACATTTTATTATGTAATTCACAAATGATAGTTTATGCACAAATACCCAGGAATTCTTAACGTATTCAAAATCCACCTAAAAGGGGCCCATAAAAGACAAAAGACACAGCTTCAGCACTGCCTTTCCAAATTTTAGATACTAATGTATGGGTTATAGGCAGGGCATAATTAGTGAGATCATCAGAGCTGTAGGAGAGAAGGACTTCACAACTGTTACATAAATTAGCATCTTGCCTTTTTACGTAAAGACAGAAAAGCTCCATCAGTTACAAAATCAAAACATTTCAACTTGTTTTCACATTCACTAAAGAGACTCAGATCATTTTACAAGCGGTACACAAAAGCTCTCTTCAATTCAAGTGAAATCAAGTATAAATCAAGACAGAAATTCCCCTTCATTTGTTTCATCTAGTAAATAGCACTCTTAAACAACAGTATTCTATTGGCTGGGAGAGGGAGTCTATTTTTGAAGATTCACATCCTTCACAGTTTTACATGGGTTGGTGCGTTTGTCATACAGAATAAGCACAGAATTGATGTTTTTAAATTTTAAATTTTTCTAGTAAAGGCATATTTTTAAACTCGTTAATTTCACGTCAATGTATGGATTTGTATTTCTCTCTTAAAAACTTGTTTGGTCACAGCTAGGACCTTTCTGTAATATATGACTGAAACTGATCCACTGAATATTCTCAATTTCAATAACTACTCAAGCATGAAAACGTGTATGGAATTTCCAAAACTGATACATCAGGTGAATGATTACAGAACTGCAGTATCCACAAAGGTAATGATTTTATACCATGTATTATCATTTCTGAATGCTAACCTACTTGTGATTAGAAGATAAACTGCCTGATACCAGGAATCTACTATTTGCCATATTTTTCTCCACTTTGAGGAAGGTTTATTCTATTTTTTTTGGTGAGGCATTCAGGGTTAAGTGACTTGTCTAGGGTCATATAGCTAGTAAGTATGTGTCTGAGGCCTCATTTGAACCCAGGTCCTCCTGACTCCAGAGCCAGTGCTAGCTGTCCTAGATTTATTCTTATAAAATAATCTTTCCACACTTAATACACTATATTTTCTACATTTAATATACTTTATTCTTAATAGAATCATCTCAAGAATTTTTTGAGTAATTATGCGACTTTTTAAAAAGCCAAATATAAGTTGGCTATATTTTAAACATGTCACAATACATAACAGTAATAAAAGAAAATATATTGGTTTAACTTAGATGTATACACACACACACACACACACACACACACACACACACACACACGTGAGTCCACATGTATTCCTAAAGCACAGGTCTGACAACGTCATTCCCTTACTCAGTAATCTTCGATGGCTTTCTGTTGCTACTAGGATCAAATATACTCCTCTGCCTCTTAAAGTTCTTTGTACCTACCTATCCAACCTTGTTAAACATTACTTCCCTTAACACCACTCTATGATCCAGTCAAACAAGCTTTTTTATTGTTCTTTACAGAGCATTTTCTTCATCCATCTTTGTGGTTTTGCACTGACTGTCTCCCAAGCTGAAATGCAGTCCCTTCTCACCTCTACCTCTTCAGATGCCTTGCCTCCCAAACACAAGCTGAGATCTTAACCCAGTCTATCAACTTATTACATTTAATTAAAGATTTCCTTTGTAACCCTATACATTTCATTTTATGCACATAAAAAGTATTCTGAGAAGGGGTTTGGAAGTTTCATTCATTATTGCCAAAAAGGTCTATGACATAAAAAAAACTGAACCTCAGTTCTACATGAAACTTTTCCTGATTCCCCCAGCAGCTGACGCCTTCCCCCCACCCCCCAAAAAACTGCCTTGTACTTTTTGTATAAATTTAGTATATATTTACATAGGTACAAATTGTTTCCCTCAACAGTGTGGGCTTCTTGGGAGCATACAATTTTATTTTTGTCTTTGCCTAGCAGTGCTAGGATTCATATGAGGCTTTCCCTCCAACTGTAACTTTTAATTTCTCCTGTTTTCACACTATATTACAGAATCCGACATTTTCCAACAGTTGTCAGATTTCCTCAAAAACTTACTAGCTGTATGACCTGGGCAAGTCACTTAACTCTTCGTGCCTCAGCTTCCTCACCTATAAAATGAGCTGGAGAAGGGCAAATCACTCCAGTATCTTTGCCAAGAAAACCCCAACTGGGGTCACAGAGAGTCAGACACAACAGAAATGCCTTAACAAGTACTACTTTTAAAATTCCAGAACAATTTCCTGTCCTCCAGCCCAGAACTGCCTTCCTCCTCACCTCTGCTTCTTAGAATTCCTTCTGAGCACAACAAATGCACTACTTCCTACATGAGACCTTTTCTGATATCCCCAACTGACTCCCCACCCCCACCAAGTTCCTTGTATTTGCTTTGTATGTGTATTTTGTACCTACTTATACAGTACATGCTGTTCCCTCCTCCTCCAGATGTAAGTTCCTCTGAATGCCTGGACTGTGGTGTTTGTCCTTCAATGCCCAGAACCCAGGGGCAGCTAGTAGAGATTGATGGATACATGGATACATACGGTTTAAATCCAGCCTCAGACACTTACTGTGTGAGCCCTAACTCCCTACAAGTCCCTTAGTCTCTCTCAGCCTGTTTCCTCATCTGTAAAACAGGAATAATGATGATGATGACGATAATTAATTGCTTGGATGTAAAATGAGGATAATATTGACTTCACCAGGCTGAGGTTAAATTGAAACTTCGAAAACTAACTTGAAAGTGCCAAATGTGTAGATATAGACATATAAAGGTGAGAGGCAGAGGATAGAGGTCTAACCTCGAAAAGCATTAAGACTTGGGTTCAGGTCTGCCTCTGACACATGCCTGTGAGCAAGTCATACACAGACAGATCACAGATGTACAGCTGTATGTATGTGTGTCTATATACGGATATCTCCAGTCCTGGAAGCAGTTTCGTAACGCGCAATCACAGCTCCGGTCCCTATCCCCGTAAAAGCCACCATTACTATTCCCTCCAGCTCGTCCACGCCCCCTCACTCAGCCAGGCCCCTCCCGAGGCCAAGTCCAAGGGCACTGGGCTCGTAGGCTGGACCGCAGGCCAAGGTGCCAAAGCCCCCGGGAGAGGAGACTGGCGAACTTCCGATCCCCAAGATCTGACTCTGTCCGAGGGTCACAGCTTTTTAATTGTTTGCTTTAAGGCAAACGAGTCCCCTCTGCACGCAGAGGCCGCAGCAAGAAACCCATGCTCTGACCTAACCTCAGCCCGACTTCCTTTTCCCCTTCCCCCTTCCCCCAATCTCCCTCCCCCCTTCCCCAGGCTCTGGGGACGCGCACGCGCACCCCTCCCCCCCGTCCAGGTCTCAAGGAGGGCGCGGCCCAGAGGCCCTTTCCCTCCCCAGCCCGAGCCCATCCTCAGCCCACAGCCGCAGGCGCCTACTCCCGCACCACCACCACAGACAGGGAAAGGGCGGCCCCTGAGGCCAGAAGAGCCCTCACACCGCCTGCTCCCTTACTCACACGGGACGGCTGTCATAGACGCCGAAGCCACGCCTCTTCCGCCCCGCCCCTCCGCTCAGGTGCAGACGCCTGCGCAGGCGCAGCCACCTCCTCCAACTGGAAGTTCCTTTCTGCAGGGGGTGGGGGAAGGGGGCGGGACGGGGAACCAGGGCGCGGGCTGCGACTGAACGGCGCGAAAGGGTGGGAGGGCGGGCTAGACGAAAGAGGCGGGGCCTCGGTCCCTGCGGACGTGGCTTGTGAAAACAGAGAAGCGCGGGCATGCGCAGAAAACAAACTCGCGCCGCCTGAAACTTTAGAGGGCTGGGGGCAGGGCGGGGGCGGGGCGGGGCCGGGGCGGAGAAATAGTTTGAGCGAGCCAGTTACCTAGAGGGCGAGAGGGGCAGGAAGTCGGTGGAGCGGAGGGTTTGGGAGGCTCGGAAAAAAGAAGGAGGGTGTTGCTTTATGCTTTGCTCTCGCTGCTGAGAACTGAGTACAATGGTTTTGGAAATAAAATGCACACGGGACCAGTAATTCATTTCTGGGCTCTTGAAAGTAACTAGATGCTCGGACCGGAGTTAATCTTTCCTTAACTTTTGCTCGTGTTCGCCTAGCCCCAAGTTCACTCGGGGACTCCTTTACACCTCTTAAAGAAAGCTTGTTCATTTCCCTCAACCTAGCGAGGTGCAAACGTGTGCATTTTTATGTTCATTCACATCTGGGAAGAATAATAGGTTATAGTATATACATATATATGTATATATATATGTGTGTATATATATACACACACACATATGTATATGTATATGTGTGTATATGGATATATATCCACATGCATATATATCACTATAAGTTATCCTTATTCACAGATATGAATTAAAACTTTCCACCAACTCATCTGAAAGATGGGGATTGAAATATACATATATATGTATGTATATTTTATGTGTATATGTGTGTGTGTGCATACACACACACACACATAGGCTCTATAAAACTAGCTCACAAAAAGCCTGTGAAGTGGGTTTTGCAAGTATTATCATCACTTTTATAAAGGAAGAAACTAGGCTCAGGTGAAGTCATTTACCTCTGTCATACTTCAAATCAGAGCCAGGACTCAAACCAAGGTCTGGTGCCCTTTCCAGTGTGTGATATTACCAGACACCAAACAGTACCCATAAAGGCACCATAAGATTTAGAGATTGAAAGGACCTCTGAGGTCAGCTAGTTCAAACCCCTTATACTATAGATGAGGAAACTAAAGTCCAGAAGGGAAATTATTTACCCAAGGTCATGCATAAAATAGTGAAGAATTGTGCCTTTGGTATATGCAGATATTCTAGGTTCAAATTTCGTTGTATTTATAAACCTGTGTGACCTTGGGCCACACTTTTCTCTGGACCTTTGTTTCCTCAGCTCTAAAATCAAGGATTTCAACTAGATGATAGCTAAGTTATCTTCCATCTCTAAATCCTGTTTTTTATTATGTCATATGAATTTTTGTTGTTCAGTTGTTTCCAGCTCTTTGAGACCTCATTTGGGCTTTTCTTGGCAGAGACACTGGAGTGGTTTGCCACTTCCTTCTCTCAGTCATTTTACAGATGAGGAAGCTGAGGCAAACATGGTTAAGTGATTTGTCCAGGGTCATACAGCTAATAGGTGTCTGAGATTGGATTTGAACTGTCTTCCTGACTTCAGGCTCAGTGCTCTATCCACTATGCCACCTAGCTGCCCTTGTCATAAATTATTAAATGCAAAAAGTCAAAATAGGCAGGTCATATTGTGAGAAGGGTGTGATGCCCACGTGTTCCACCACGACCACCACTTCAATTCAAGAAGCATTTATTAAGGTCCTTATATGTGGTAGGCACCCTGCCAAGTATTGTATATACAAAAAGAACAAGCTTACTTCTGTCGGAGGAAACAAAGTCTACTTAGAAAATTAAATACAGGGGGACAGAGCAAAGATGGCAGAGAAAAGCCAGGAAGTTGCATGAGCTCTCCCAGTTTCCCTGAGAAACAACATTCAGTCCAGCTTCTAAGTGGATTTGGGAGCAACAGAACCTACAAAAAGACAGAGTGAAACAATTTTCTAGCTTAAGATAACTCAGAAGGACTTTAGAAGGTCTGTCTCACTTGAGTAAAAGGGGAAGATCAGCCCAGTGCAGTGTCTGGGCAAGCCAGTAGGAGGCTCTTAGTCACAGCACAGATTGGCAGCTGAGGCCCCTCAGTGCTGGGTCAGGAGGCCAATGGCACAGCAGGACAGCTTTGAGACTTCAAGACTTCAAGCTCCAGCTCAGAAGGCAAACTTCCAGTCCTGGAACTCTGGCACAACAGGCGTAACAAGGCTGGGCCACCCCACTCGCCCACAGTGGGCAAGTTGCCAGCACCTGAGGCCCCGGCGCAGAAAACCAGTGACCAGGCTTCTGGCCCCCAGCACAAGAAGCTTGGGCCCCTGTGCCCCTGGAGCAGAGCTCAACTTTAAAAGTCATGAAATAGACTAAAAATGAGCAAAAAACAGAAAAGAGCCCTGACCATAGAAACCTCCTACGGGGACAGGGAAGATCAAAACACAAAGTCAGAAGGGGACAACAATGTCAAAATGCCTACATGTGAAGCCTCAAAGGGGAATATGAATTGGTCTCAAGCCCAGAAAAGCTTTCTTGGAAAAGCTCAAGAAAGATTTTAAAAATCAGGTAAGAGAGGTACAAGAAAAATTGGGAAAAGAAATGAGACTTATGCAAAAGAGTCATCAACTTGGAAAAAGAAGGACAAAAAATTGACTGAAGAAAACAATTTCTTAAAAAAATACAATTGGCCAAATGGGAAAAAAAATCCACTGAAGAAAATAACTGCTTAAAAAGTAGATTTGGCTAAATGGAAAAGGAGATACAAAAGCTATTTTAAGAAAATAATTCCTTAAAAATTAGAATTGGGCAAATGGAAGCTAATGATTCTATGAGACATCAAGAATCAGTCAAACAAAATCAAAAGAATGAAAAAAAAAGAAAATGTAAAATTCCTCATTGGAACAACTGACCTGGAAAATAGATCCAGGAGAGATAATTTAAGAATTATTGGACTACCTGAAAGCCATGATTAAAAAAAAAAAGAGCCTGGATAGCATCTTCCAAAAAATTATCAAGAAAAGCTGCCCTGATATGCTAGAAGCAGAAAGTAAAATAGTCATTGAAAGAATCCACCTATCACCTCCTGAAAGAGATCCCAAAATGAAAACTCCAAGGAATATTATAGCCAAATTCCAGAATTATCAGGTCAAGGAGAAAATATTGCAAGTAGCCAGAAAGAAACAATTTAAATATCAAGGAGCCACAGTCAGGATTACACAGGACTCAGCAGCTTCTACATTAAAGGATTGGAGAGCTTAGAATATGATATCCAGAAGGTAAAGGAGCTTGGATTACAACCAAGAATCAACCACTCAGCAAAATTAAGCATAATCTTTCAGGGGAAAAGGTGGATATTTAATGAAATAGGGGACTTTCAAACTTTCTTGATGAAAAGACCAGAGCTGAATAGAACATTCAACCTTCAAATACATGACTCAAACACAAGCATAAAAAGGTAAACAGGAAAGAAAAAAAAAACCAGTATGTTGTTTAATAAGGTTAAACTGTTTAGTTCCCTACATGGGAAGATGATACTTGTAACTCTTGAGAACTGTATCTCTATTAGGACAGTTAAAAGGAGTATACATAGAAGAGGGTGTGTGTATAAGTTGACTTTGACGTGATGATAAAAAAACACAATTTAACAGGTGAAAAAAAGGATTGTACTGGGAGAAGAAGAAAGGGGGAGTCAGAATAGGATAAATTTGCATAAAGAGGTGCAAATGACCTATTACAGTAGAGGGAAAGAAGGGAGGGGGTAAGTATTGTTTGAACCTTACTCTCATTGGATTTACCTCAAAGAGGGAATAACATACACACTCAATTGGGTCTAGAAATTTATCTTACCATATATGGAAGTAGGAGGGGAAAGGGGAAAGAAGAGGGAGAGGAGGGGCTGATAGAAGGGAGAGCAGAAGGGAGGGCAGAAGCAGGAGGGGAAAAGGGAAAGAAAAGGGAGGGAGTCTGATAGCAGTGAGAGAAGATTGAGAGAGGTAGTGATCAGAAGCAAAACACTGATGAAGAACAGGGTGAAAGGAGAGAGAAAAGTATAAACTGGGGGGAGAGATGAACTCTCCCATAAAACAGAAACAGATAGCAGAGTGGGTTAAAAACCATAATCCCACAATATGATGTTTACAACAAACACATTTGAAGCAGAGATACACAGAGTAAAGGTAAAAGGCTGGAGCAGAATATGTTATGCTTCAGCTGAAGTAAGAAAAAAGCAGAGGTAGCAATCCTAATCTCAGAGTGCAGAAAGCAAAAGAAAAGATAGATCTAATTAAAAGATATAAGGAAAGAAATTGCATCTTGCTAAAAGGGACCATGGACTATGAAGTAATATCAATACTTAACATATGCACCACATGGTGTAACATCCAAATTCTTAGCGTAGTTAAGTGAGTTACAGGAAAAAAATAAGCAGCAAAACTATACTAGTGGGGGACCTCAACCTCCCCTTCTCAGAACTAGATAAATCTAACCACAAAATAAACAAGAAAGAAGTTAAGGAGGTGAATAGAATTTTAGAAAAGTTAGATATGATAGTCCTTTGGAGAAAACTGAATGGGGATAGAAAAGAATATATTTTTTTTCTCAGCAATATACGGCACCTACACAAAAATTGACCATGTATTAGGGCATAAAAACCTCATAATCAAGTGAAGAAGGGCAGAAATATTAAATGCATCCTTTTCAGATCATGATGCAATAAAAATTATGTGTAATGAAGTGCCATGGGAAGATACACAAAAATTAACTGGAAACTAAATAATCTAATACTAAAGAATGAGTGGGTGAAACAACAAATCTTAGAAACAATAATTTCATCAAAGAGAATGACAATAATGAGACAATATACTAAAAATTTACGGGATGCAGTCAAAGCAGTCCTTAGGGGAAATTTTATGTCTCTAAATGCTTACATGAATAAAATAGAGAAAGAGCAGATCAATGAATTGGGCATGCAACTAAAAAAGCTAGAAAAAGAACAAATTAA